TTCCTGGTGCCATTACAGTAAGATGACATGTTCTTCCTCCTGAATGTGAATATCGCAAAGTATTGACGTCGGTATTCCCACGATTATTCTTATTTTTTAATGTGCTCGAATGTTTAAAAAAACGTCATCTGTTGTTAAGTTAATGTTATGTAACATGACTCTTACTAAAGCGACCTCCCGTAACACGAAATATTTTGTCATTGCTGATAATGAGAAAAGCTCAGGTTGCAATTTGTATCCAGAATAAAAATATTACAACCAATAGCATATTAGAAAGAATTGACCCCATAGCTAACATACAATTTTGAGTCACTGATTCAATTTAATTGCATCAAAATCATATCTACATATCAAACAGAAACACATAACTTAAATAACTATTTCAATATAGCCAAATAAACATTATCACTTGACAATAACCAAAATTGAACTGATAATGGACGTTTTGAGCTGCGAGTACAATTTTAACTATTTGATAGCCTAACAGTATGTTCGTCACAGTCCATTTACTGTGGTTGGATTGAAAGAGAATATGAAACATTTTCAGTTGCTGATTTTGAGTTACGAAACTAGTTCCCGGTAAATATGTATGAAATACTAATCTGAATAAAGGAGAGGTGGGAATTGTACCGTTAATCTGAATCAATATGAAAATTGTCACGGTCCTGAGTGAATTTTGCAATTGTTTTAATCCTGGGAATATAAAGTGCTACAAAATAACCTTTTATTGACGAATCTAATACACGAGAATGGAGATAGTGTAAAATAGTTTCAGCAAATGAAGACTTGTCGTTATTTCAAAAACCTTTGTGCTTTCAGGTAACTGTAATTAGGGTGCAATGAGTTTATCTCAAGTGGTTGAAGTGGTTAGTGAGCTTTAGTTTGTAGAGACACTGTGTTTGTTTAATGAAAAGTTTTAAAGCTGCACATTTGAATGGAATAAAACTTTTTATTTCATGGCATTTAAGGTTGTCTTTTACATTGTGTATTTTTACTAATTTAATATAAAATAAGTGGTCAAAATTATTACTCAATTTAAATGATGTAAGTAAGTAACATACATAACTTTTAACGCTACCGCAATAACTGAAATTAATAGTGCTTTCCAAAAATTAAACTTCCGATTTTCCAGTCATAAAACTCTGCTTTTCATTATTTTTCCTTATTTTATATACTCATCGACAATAGATTCTAGTAGTCATTTTGGGTTCTCGACATTTTTTGGAAGAAGTACTTTAAATGCTTGCATTTAACATATTAATTAGCTTATTGATTAATTTCACGTTAATGTGTAAACCTAATTAGCAGATGGACGAGCGCATATTGAAATACACTATTTAGTGACCGATAATATTTAGAGGGATTATGGCGTGTTTATAATCCATAAAATGACATTCAATCTACGAGGGGCACCCATTACGGGCCACGGCATAACGCGGGATTAGGATGTGCTTCAAATTAATAAGTAATAGCATCGTAATGAAGTATTTACAATGTAGAATTCCATTAATAATAAAGTTTTCCTAACCATGAAGAAGGCAAGTTGGTTATAAAGGTTAGAGACTATAGGAATGAAGTATTTATTTGAGAACATAATTACTTGGACAAACATCTAGGTATTTAAAATAAGGTTCTCCGTGGAATGGCACAACTCTAAATCAATTTCATCAACAACCGTAAACCGTTTGTCTTTACAAAAACCAAATACACCCCCGTAAATTCTTTATTTGCTAGCACTTTCCGTCTAAAAGGGCCAATTCTCTTTACCTAATGTAAATAATGGGAAGAACCAACATTTTAAGATCTGACGGAAGGCTTTCATCGTCTTGAATAATACTAGCGTGGACATGACAAGCCCCTGAAACTTGTGTAAAGTGGGACAATTCCAATATTGTCACTAATTATGTACAGTCCTTGTTCGCTCAATTAATCAAGTTTTCAAGTAGCTTTTATTATAATTTGAAATTATATTATCTTTACCTGAAATGGCTTTTCAGCGTCTGTCTTTTTATTGCTTCTGTATTATAGAGGCTGGCATAAGAAGGTAATATTAGATATTCTTTTGTTCCCAGTATTAATGTAAGTAGTTCATTTGATAACTTCCAATTATTCTTTGTTGACCTTTTATTACACCCGCGGAACCGAAAAAGGCTCCCAGTTCTAAGTTGTTTTCAATTTAAAGTAAAACGAGGCCGAGTTGATATAACAATAGTTCCATTTTTAAAAAAAGAATGGATTTTTTTATAACGAGTTATAACAAGGAAAGTTGGTTCATTTTTATATGTCCCACGTTCGTAACGCTCTATTATGTAAACCGCAGGATAACGTGTCGTCGTACGACTTTTTGAAAGTCGTTTCGTTTTTATTTGCATGTAGGAAAAGCCAGTGAAATGTCATACAGACACGCAAATAGAGATTTGTTTGCGTACAGTGAACATTACAACTTTTAAAATGACGTAATCTGATATTTATGATATGCATGTAAGGATACCATTCACGAATATGATTCTGATATGTTTTTTTTATATAAGATAAAAACCAGTAATATAAAAATAGTAAAAATATCGATAAAAGTTTGAGATGCGACTCAACACTAAAAATTTTATGTATAATCGTAAGTAATCGTGGTAATCGTGACTAAAATGACTGTTTACTAACTGAATTCTTTTGTTTAGTTTTCTCATAAAATGATACGATGCTAAACTTTTAATTCTAATTCTAATAAGTGGCTATTTCTCATCGCCACGGTTCTCATCGTCACCTTCGTGGCGAATTTTATTTCTAACTTATTTCAACTTTTTGTAAACAAAAATTGTAGCGCTTGATGTGAAGATTGTATTCTCAGTAAATCAGTCAAATAGTGAGTCTCGTTTGGAAGCTTTAACGTTTTGAATTTTTTGATGCCACGAAAGTGATTCTGTACTTCACAGCAATAATTTTTTCAAACTTTACTACTGTAAATGACTCTTAAGTATTTATAAAACATATATTTTGTCTTATTTTCATAGATAAATAGCAATAACNCCATCTTACTTTAACTTCAACAAACGTCAAAATTCTGTCAAACTCCATACAAAAAGCACCGGTTACCGTTATAGCTACGGTCAAAGTTAGGTGGTGCAACTCAGCCTAAAACTAAGAAAGATTGAAGAAAAAGAAACATTTCGTTTTAAACCCTAACCGTATGACAATAAAGTGCACAATGGTATCTCGTATTGCAACCTAAGCCCTGATTGTCTCTTATTGGTCGTAGTAAAAATATAGTAAAATGCGTAACCAATTAGAGACGGGGTGAGCACGTGACCGGAGCGATGCGCTTACGCTAAAATTTCTACAAAGTGGTCAGGCGGAAGAGTCCCCGATAGTACAGTATGCGCAACATAGGCCTTGTACACAACAAAACAAATATTACGCTTATTAAACAAGTCTCTCTTTCCACACAAACTTTCATCCCTTAATTTTATTACTCCCTTTAGGATAACATTCTTAGAAACTTTAAATGTCATTTTTATTTCTGTCTAATTGATAAGTAAGTGAATATTGAGTTTGATTGGTAACTCTATATGTGTTTTAGAATGCTGTCTGTTTTCTTAACAATATAATAAATAAAAAGTAAAAAAACTAAAACCCAACTACGACAAAAAACGACGCTGAAAAAGCTCGATTACTGAACCATGCCTCTCAAAATAATTCTTATATTGATAGGATAGAGGCAATACAGAGGCGTTTTCTCAGGGTATTAACGTACAGACATGGATATAAGGGCAAACTACTTACCTATAGCGATCGACTGGATCATTTTAAACTGGTCAACCTCGAGACGCGTCGCAAAGCTCATGGAATATTCTGCTTATTCAAGATCCTCAATGGGTCGGTTTCTACAGCGACCTTGTCTCGAGTCCAAATTAAAATACCAAAACGTTCCCTTAGAGTCCCCCGAACATTCGAAGTGCCACTATGTACCAGTAACGCGTCCTCTCACAGCGCCATGCATAGAATCTGCCGAGACTTTAACAAGCTCACACCCGATATAGAGGAGGTGCCTGACATCTACAGCCTTACCCTAAACAAATTCAAAAAAGCTGTTAATGAATTGTTACTTAAATAATTCCTCTCTCATCTTTATTTCTTAGAGAATTATTGATTTAAATTTCATTATATTTATTAATAACTTGTTTCCATTATTAATTAACATTAAATAATTATTTTTATAATTTACGTATTATGTATAATTGTTGTTAACTCGAATAGCATTGTATGTTGTGTGCACTTTTTATTGGAGCTGCAACAAGTTTTACTGTATAGCCTGCTTTAAAAGCTTTGTATGTTATGGTTGTATCCCTGTTTTGTGCACCAAATAAAATAAATAAAATAAAAATAAAAATGAGAAGTACCCAAGTAATTTTAATACTAATAGAGTTTACCACGTTTAATGAGTTGGATTTAAAAGTTTAATAAAAACATAGGTACATGGACATCTTTTAATAAAATAAAAATATAACCACGATAACTATATTTCCTTGCCATATCTACTTAGTAGGTAACTTAATGCGAAAAAAGTTTATTATATTTTGGTTTTCGATGCAATGAAAACGTTGAAATTGTTTTTGAAACTTTTCCCGACGGACGAGTTGCCGGACCGTCGGCGAAAAATTTTCAGCGTTCTTTTGTCATATTTTAGGACAAAGTTTGCCTGAATATTTCAATTCGTTGAAGTTCATATTAAAAATTACCTTCTCTGATACAAATAATCTTTTTGCGAACCATTAAAATTTATATTTAACAGCTTTTTATTTGTTACAATCCTTTTTTTTATCGTACTGTAAAATTTGCTTGAGTAGTCCTTAAAAAAAGTTTTTTTAGGAATAATTTTGGGTATTTCTGACCGATTTTGTGCATTCCAGTCTTTATTTTTATGTTTTTTATTTTCAAATCGTATTTTTCATACAATGTAGTGTTATATATTTAAAATACTGAATATCTTAAAATCTTTAACTTACCTCGGGGTCAGCGGACAGTCGTTCGCGCCGCGAAACTTAACAAACTGAGAGTTCTACGCGCACTTTCCGGAACTTAGTCACAACTCACAGTGAGGAGTGCGTATGTGTGCGTGGTCGCCAAGTCCTGTGAGAACGTTTGGGCGCGCCAAAGTTGTGAGCCGCTGGGTTCGGCCCGCGTGCTTATATCTCGCAACTAGCTGCCGCCGCGCGCATGCGCGCCTGCCATTCATGTCACTCTCTCAATGACCACCCCCGCGAACGTCATCGTCATTTTCACCATCAATTTGACGGTTGACATTTTTTAAATTTCCATAAAGTTCATTAGGAGGCGGTCAATTCGGAAAGATGAATGGCAGCGCCAATTTGCTCTCCAAGGTTTCGGCCAATACATCAAGCGTGTCTAAAAATGATGTTTTGTTTTCATAATAACGTTACATCCTTGCTCATTTCTCATCTACATTCTTCCACTTACGAGTATATCTCCTCCCACTTCTAATAGCTTAATGGTTAACTTATCGAAAGTGCTATTAAGTCCGCACTTTGAATACCTAAGTATCTACATAGGTAGCTATTATTCATGTTTTAAGCTTTTCAAATAGGTTGTTGGCAAATATTATGTACGTAAGTTAAATTGTTCCCGAATTAGTTCCATAACAGTTTGATATCCGAAGTTTAATACATGCACATTAGAAACAGCGGGAGTGGGATGAAGTTCAAAAAGTTATCGAAATATGCATCGACGACTGATCGCTCTTAACTTTTTGAGATATGTGGGGCTTAAACTACTTGGGCAAGTTCCCTCTTTTCGCTCGTGTGTGTAAGCTTTGAGTATCGGGAAATTCGCGATTAACGTGATTTACGGGAGTTCTGCTTAGAACTTCGAGTTATCAAGACCCGCGATTTAGCGAACGTAGGTCAAGGGCACTGAGGCTTCAAGTATTAGGCAACTATAATACTGAGGCACTGAACAAAAGACAATCGAGTCTGTTGGAAACAAATCAATTTCTATGGTAATGAACAGTTTCGAATAAAGCTCTCCTACTCGGCGCTCACATGCGGTGATTACAGTTGTTAAAGAATAATCAAGTGAGACACATTGTAAAACGTGGGTACTCAAACTTTATACCCAGCTATAGAGCTACTCAAGCGGATGAAAGTATTCGTAGATAAACATTTAACTGTGTGCTTTTAATCCAGTATTTGAACTTAATGCTGAGCAATGAGCAGCTCGCTTTAAAGACGTTTGATAAAAACTAATAGGTAAGTAGGTACGTACATTTTCTATTTTCACTTAATGACTAACCTAAGTAAGTACTTTAAGATAAATAAGCACATGAGTTTCGTAAGTACCTAGACAAAAAGTTTCTTCATTGTCTTGTGCAGAATAATTAAGTGTTATGAACTAAGAAACTTATAGCCATTTCAATTAAGTATTCATGTTCTGTGGCTGAATCTAGTTTCAAAACAACAACAATTTCGTGTGATAACTTATGTTTATTTGCTTAGTTTTAATAAATTAATCTAGGACAGACCTGCTGTAGTTTTGTAGCCCATTTGGTCATGGCTGGGAGAAACTGTTATGCGATTACGATGAGGATTTGTTTGTTTGGATTTCCCTATAATGTCTGGCGCATACGACATCCTACTCGTATCTGTTTATCTGTACTTGTTGCATGTTAATAGAGTTCACGAGCTGTAGGAACCTTGAAAGGTCATTGTCAACGTTGATTAATCGATATTTCGGCTAGTCACGGAGAACATAAACACGGCATGCGTTACTCACGCGCTTGAAAAGTAAGCACCGATACACTTTGGCTTAAAAGCCTTTTCAGTATTGAAACGTGATCTAAAGTTTTATAATTTACAATCGATAGGTTTCCTCCATTTCTTAATGCATGAAATCATCGTTATCATTTCAGTCACCAGTCCACCCACGGTGGACCGATGACCTGATAAACCTAGTGGGAAGGCGCTGGATGCAGGCCGCTATCAACCGTGCGATGTGTAAGTCATTGGGGAGGCCTATGTTCAGCAGAGGACATCCTGTGGCTGAAATGATGATGATGATGATTTCAGTTACTAGACGTCCACTACTGAACATAGGCCTCCCCAAATGGTTTCTATATTGCCCGGTTAGTAGCGCCAATCAGCGCTTTCCTGCTGCCTTTATGAGGTCGTCGGTCCACCTTGTCGTTGGTGGACGCATGGTAGATGCATAAAATGCAATAAAACTACTAACGGGGAATCTCTTAGCCTACATGGAAAGAATGATCAAGGTGATGGGAAGCGAGCTTTACTGGAATACTCAATGACAGAAGAACTGGATAACATATCTTAGCTCCAACTACTTTACAACTACGGGTCAAAAAGTTCGTAGACAATAGTAGTCGGCCTTATTAGTTTGCAAGATTGTCAAAGTTTATTGACGCGGACTGTACTAATACAAGTAGGTACGCGTGCATAGTAGGTTAGTTAGCCACATGCTAACGAAAGACGAAAAGTGAACTGAAAATAATACAGTAATAAAAGTAACCAGGAAAATGATCATTTACACTCACAAAGTTTACGTTTCGTCAATATAAAACTTTCAATCCAGAATAAGTAGCTATTTTTATGCGGATGTAACCTTTCGTTTAGAATCATCAGACCGATCTTATATCTTATAATGCATTGTTGCCCTTCTGTGTACCACCCTGAAATTCTGAAAATACTTAGTTCATAAAAGGAATTGACTTATGGAAACAAAAATTCTAGAAAAAAAAATATGTCAAGGATTCAGAACCTGAAAAATAATGGAATGTGGAATAGTTTCCTAAGTTTTAAAAAGGTTAACTTCGCCTGTACCAAGCACCAAATAGTACCAAAACCAAAGTTATAATTTATTTCGTCAAGACGGTATGCAAACTAAGAAAAGCAGTATTTGTTTTAAATGTAAATGTGTAACTAAACTACTATCGCTACAGTTTACATTGTGTTCTTAAACGCTCTCTAATGGCTACTTGCATCGGTACAGCTGATCCGAAGCGCAGTATGTATGCTAATATCCGACTGACTGCTGACTATTGCAGCACTAAATAAATAAATAAACTTTTCCAACAATCAAACATTGCCAAGCCATAAACTAACTGTGCTTGTTTGTACTATGTGCACTAGATTAGGTACAATTAGGCGGTAATCACACTCCGCCGCGGAGCGCGTGATTTTCATATAAAAAATCAGACGCGTTGTCAGTGTGAAGTGCTGCGCGTGTTTTCTATACAAACTGAGGTACTTGCATACAATAATTAAAACTGTCGCCCCGCGCTCCGCGGCGGAGCGCGGCGCAGTGTGATAACCGCCTTAATTAGACATATTTAAAGTCACCCTGCTTTGAAATCAAATAAATTTATTTGATTTGATTTGATTTGATTTAAAATCGTTGGCATCCTTTTAAAAAGACTCAACAGTTCAGCCTCGATTTAAGGCTGAGTTGCATCAACTTACTTTAACCGTAACTATAACAATAACCCATATTTTTTGTATGGAGTTTCACAGATTTTTGACGTTTGTTAAAGTAAGATAGTGCAACTCAGCCTAAATGTTCGTGCTCATCACGCTAACATTTACCCGATTGGAGCTCATATATTTATTTTTAGTCTGGTAGAGTTCTAACAGTCATTCAAACTTCTGATAACGCATTTATGTGTAACACAGATATTATAATACTCTATAACATATTTTCTTTTGGAACTCGACGTCATTAAAACATTTATGTAATTGCACACGTATCTACGCGCCTCCGTGCGATGCCGCGAGTGTGCAAGATTCAATTAACAATGAATTCAACGCTTTATGCTAAGCGAGTTTTAGCTGTTTAGCCGCTCTATATTACACGCTCAAGAAGCTCGAAGCTTTATTACCGGTAGAACAAAATTTGATATGCAGCAACTAAGGTGAATTGTGCTAATTTTACATACAAATGTGTAAAATTTAAATAATACCCATTTCAAGAAGGTAGGTGCTATTCAGATAAGTAATATTATAAGGATGAAAACAAGTTTAATTTCGTTGCGAAAACAAACTTAAAGTTAGTTATTTGAACTTTTGGAATGAGTACTTAAAGAATCAAATTACAGTAAGTATCTAGTTATCCTTCTTATTTATTATTCATGTTTCAAAATTGTAGGTAGCAAAATTTAACTTATACTTATAAACAAAATGAGGATGGAGTCGGAGAGTGTAACCTAGTAGCTGTGGCTAGTATCTGCTTACTTTATAGCATTTTCAAACATAATTAAGTAGGTAAGTAAGACCAGTGGTAGATAATAAAATATCGTTAATATTATAAGAATGAGTATAAGAACGACACTCTTAATCCATATTTAAAATTAAAATGACTGCGAACGTGTGCCAGTTGAGGAGATATCCTACCTTCTAAATAACAAATAATCCAGATCCAGAAAAGTTACCTGTAAATAAGAGTAATATATGTACTTAATAAAAGCAATATTCAGCTTTAAATAAGACAATTCAAATATTCCCGAGCCTCAAAATTTCAAACGTAGAAGGTAGAAGCGTGGGTTTCAAATACTTACGAAACTTTTAGATTTTGACTGGCATTTGAGAGTTAAAGACCAAAACCGACGAGCTATTTTATTTCCAGTAATTTGTAACTAAATGAAGATCGTAAGTTAAAGGTACAAATGTTAATAAACATTGCTTGTTCGCTCTATACTATAGTGTTATCGTAATTAAAAATAACCATCATTTTGGATTTGGTGAGATACTCGTACCAATAAATAAATAATTACCAGCATTACTGAACACACTTTATTAAAAAAGTAAAGAAAGAAAATTGAATGGGTAAAATGAAGAGAATGTTTGTAGTATTGTAGAGATGATGATCAGATGAAACTTCAAACACCTATCTGTAGTAGACCGAATACGATAGTGACTGAGTTTCTTGCGCTGCTTCTTCTCAGCACTGACCCATTTATTGTTCCGAAGCAGTGGTAGGGTTATTACGGGACATGTAAAAGTTATTTTAACCGACTTAAAAAAGGAGGTTCTCAATTCGAGTGTATGTTTTAAAAGCCTACTTGCATAAATAAATTGAGTTATGAGTTATAGTTGCCGCAGAAGCTTACTAGTTTTTTC